CTCATCCTTATAGGACCCCAGCTGGTGCCGGAAACAGCTGAACCAGGAGGAAGGCAGAGGAGATGGACACATGACAACTCTCACCTAAGAGAGACAGATCCAGCAGGCCCAAAATCAGGACTATGCATGACGAGAAGGAGTGCCTGAGAGGATCGTCCACAGGATGGGAGCTGAGGCCAGGAGAGAGGCTTCAGGAGGATCAGAGATCATCTTCAGCACAGCAGACATCACACAGAGAGCTGTGCTACTGAGCTTCCAGGAGATCAAGAGGAGACTTCCCACAGCAAGATGTTAAATAAAATGAAACATTCAATATTGACGCTGAGAAAGACAATTAAGGTGTACGACGTGCTCTGCCTTAAATCTTCAGCAGCGTTGGGATATGAAAACTCGAGGGATGAGGGGAGCGTGCCAAGCTCCATCGACAGCGCAGAAGGAGTTCGAGGATGACGTCATGATTCTGTGAAAAGCACAGGAACCAGAAGCTATGGTGGTGATAACAGCAGTTTCCTATGAACATCACCTAACGCTGTGCCACTGTACTGTGCATACGATGACACTCTGAAGGCTGCTGGGATCATAACAGCAGTAAGATGACGGAACCCAGCACCCTTTCCACAGAGAGCTTTTCTGCAGAGCGTGGACAATTAAGGAGTCATAAATATCCCCCTCACAAGACGAAGGTCTGAAGTCAGGTGATGGGGGCTGGTAAGAGGCCATAAAACTGGAGTGCTGAGAAGTCTGCAGCTTGGAAATAGCTGAGACCCATGTTGACGGACAACAAAACCAACTGGTATGTTTGAATGTTTATTCTACATACATTTGGACTCTGGTCCTATGGACAGTGATGGAAACAACTGGAAGAGACATTCATGACGCCCTGCAGAACTCAAACCACTCTGCAGAGAGACATGTGATGTGCACACCCGGAGGAAGCACCACCAAGCTGAGATGTTTTTGGAAATGTTATCTTCTTATTTTCACTATTAAATTAACAATTTGTTTGTTTGTGGGATGCAGTTTGCCATGAGATGAGCTCAATGAATGGGATAACTGCTAATACATTTGTTAAACTGTGTACCTTTTCAGTAATTTAGGGTGATTTGACATATGCTGAGTATAAAAAGGTTTGCATTGAAACTGTCAGACATGAGGTATTCATACCTGGGAACTTTTCAAGCATAAAGGTCAAAAAGGGGGGAAATGTTAGATTTGTATTGTTGATTGTCATTTATGCTTAGAAATATTTACTTATATATGCTTAGAGTTTTGTAATTAGTTGTAGATTGGTAGAGGTTTTGATCCTTGATAGTCTGCAAACTTTGTGTGTATTAGACAGCACTTTGGGAGCATGAGAGGTCACCGTGTCTTATTGTTTTATGGTAGGATTAACGTAGTTGCGTCTGTTCTAGTCTAAGTGCTCTTTGTTTAGATGAACTGCAGGACTTCCTCACCGTGTTATCTAGGATGAACCATCTAGGGTGAGGGGGAGGCTACCCTCTTCCTGACCAAGGATGTTTGACCCTTTGATCAGCAGTCCACACACACACACACACACACACACACACACACACACACACACACACACACACACACACACACACACACACACAGGCAAGGTACTCTTTGTGTGTATGTAGACGTCATATGTTAATGAACTTATGCATATTCATGTAACCTCAATAAAAGAACAGTGGTACGGGAGAACGGACGAGAGCAACTGGGGTCAAGCGAAGGAACGGTGCCTGTCCGGTTTTCTCCCGTGCACGAGAAACATGAAGAAGCTTGCCTACTTGTGTCTTCCTTTGCAGTGTAATTATATTGTCTTTAACGTTCCAGCGGATGGGTTCAAGCTACAAACCTATCAACAGTCATGATTCTTTGGAGAAATATATTAATAGTAATATAATAAATATAATATTAAAATATGCTGAGGGCTCTTTTGAATTCTAAAGTTGAACTGTAAACACTTTAAGGAAGCAAGAAAGATTAAATGGGACTTGGACTTGAACACTAAAAAACAAAACTGTCACATGAAGCTGTGTTTTGTTTTCAAGCTTATTGGCCAAAGTTAACAAACAATACTCATTTAAGCATGCTGACATAATTGCTAAAATTAAATAATCTTAATTATTAGAGCAGTAAACCAACATGGAGCTCAGTATGTTTGTGACTCTGAGATGGAGGTGAAACATGTGAAGCTGGGCTGTGGTTTACTGCTCTCTTCCTGTCACAGACACTGTTTGACATCTGTTCATCTGTTGGTTTTTGTTCAGGCTGCAGGGATCATTTCTCACTGTGGGGAGCTCTCTTCCTACATGTGCAGTAGTAGGAGGCTGAATGATTTAAATTAATATCCTTAATCGCTAACTCCCAGCCTTTCCCTTTATTTACAACTGCGAAAGTACTGTTCTCAAAAACAGGAGGAACTTCACCACTATCTTTATGAAAAGCAAAAATTAATTTGAATGTTTCGTTTTCTTTCTTCTGGTACCAGAGCAGATAGCTGCTGCTACACTGTTCAGTCCCTCCACAGCTGAAGGAGACATTTTCTCCAACTCTCCTGGTCAATGTTAAATCGTCCTGAATCAGCTGTTCTGCTGCCATGGTAACCAGTGCTGTAGAGACACAGACAGATAGATGAAGGTTAGTGTGACAGTGTTTGTTACAGGTTGACTTTGTTGGCTCCTGATTGGCTGGAAACACTCACCTGAACACAGACAGCACAGAGCAGCAGCTGGGAGGAAAAGCATTTTGTGCAGTGGTGTTTCCTCTGGTGAACCTGGGGAGAAGTGGCGCTCTGATGCAGCTGAGGCCAAACAAGGACGAGCTGTGAGATCAGACGAGGGCCACGTGGTTTCTAACAGGTCCTCAAAGCTCCCATCAGCCCCTGCGGCCCACAGATAAGACTGCTGCTGCTGATTGACAGCTCAGCTGAAGCTGCTGTGGTTTCATCGTCTTCATTTCAATCTGACAGCAGATCCAAAAATCTGGGTCACATGATGCACAAACACTCAGAAACATTCATGTTGCTGTGAATTTACTAACACACACTGTTATCTGTGGTTTAACAGCTGTGATGAAAACACTAAATATAACTAAACTATAAATAAAAATACAAATATAAAAGATTATTATGCTGTAAAAAACATGTAAAAGTAAAGAAAACATTGTAAATAAAATAGATTAAAATAAAATCAGATTAAACAACATTTACAGTGAAATCTTATTTGAAACAAACACACGTGGTTCTGTTGTGTGTTTAAATATGTGCACACTCTGGTTCTGTTGTGTGTTTAAATATGTGCACACTGTGGTTCTGTTGTGTGTTTAAATATGTGCACACTGTGGTTCTTTCCCACATCTTCTGTGTTTTGTTCCAAGTTGGTTTCAGACTGAAGGATTCATTAAAGCCTTTTTAAGAATCATTAAAATGATGATCATCAATTCTAATATCTATAAAGAGTAATAAAAACAGGGCTGTGTTTCACGTCAGCTTCATTTATTTGTAGCCATGGTTAGATTTCATCTGCAGCAGGCAGTCATCCACCTTTACACACACATTTACACAACAGTACAAAAGTACTTTTTGATTCCTGAAAGAGAAATAAGACAAATGTTGCCTTTGTATCATCTCTGATATGGAAGGGATCATTTGAAGATGTGAGTGAAGGACACAAATATTTGGATCTGGTGTTGTTCTACATTTTAGGACTAAAAGACAGAAGGAAGAAAGTGAAAGTGACTGTGCGAGGCGTTGAAGTCATGAAGTCAAGTGGAGGCCGCTGACTGCTGTTACTTTCTGCTGTACAGGTTCAACAGGGACTCACAGTCAGCCTGCTAGAACATTTGGATGAAGAGAAAAAGGAGGAAAAAGACTTTGAGGGACAAATCCAATAAGATCAGCATGTTTTGAATGTGGGAATACAACAGTTTCCTCCACCATGACACACACTGGAGCCTCTTTTTGCTCACAGCTTCACTGTTTGTCTCAAAGTTCAGTTTGGAGGCCAAAATTGTTGCAACACATTTGTAAGTTTGCACTAATTTCACTGTGTGACCCTTAATGGATGTAATGAAAGAATCAGTCAGTGAAATATGAAGCTGTGCTGTAAGTTTGGAGGAGAAAAGTGTCTGAGTGACTTTAATGAGGTGAACACATGAATACAGAGCACTGACTGACACGTACACACTCCTTTAATGAGTCGCACACATTTTTGTGACTTCATGAAATGTCAAAAATGACACAACACACAACAAGCTGCGAGCACATTATTGTGTGTTTGCTGTTTGTGTGCTTTGTTTGCTGTTATGATAGCAGGCATACAGCCATGTTCTCAATGTCTCAGCTATCATTGATTATTGCTGCTCTTCCTCTTCTATTAGGCACTTCAACTCAATGAATGACACACAGAAAGATTTCATGACTGTGTTCTTCACAATAAGGAGAATATGTTATCTGCATCTGAATGACTCATGTTGCCTTGTTTCTACTTTGTTTGCATATTTCTGCTTGTTGGAAAGGATTTTCTGAATCATTCAGTAGTTTTTGTAATAATAACGACATTTAGCAAGACTTCAAAATGATTCTCCAACATTTGCTGTTCAGACTTGATCTGTTCTTACGTGTGTGATATCCAGAATGAAAAACTCAGCTCAGGTAATAAAATGGGAGCTGAGCAGACTGCAGGGGCTTCATGGTCTCTCCTTTGAGTCCATTAAAGTTCATTTGTCAGCTGTGAGTTGAGGATTTGAGCTGTTTCTCTCACAGGTGAAGAACACAGATCCTTCCTGGAATCATTCTTGAAGCAGAGTTCCTGCTTGTAACTGTCATTGTGTTATTAAAGTGAAAGCCACAGCTAACGGTGTGGAGGCTGCAGAGCAGAAACCCACACAGCCCGTCTGCTGCAGGAGAGCAAGTTTGGATACAGTCAGTTTGTGCTTCACTCACACGGGTTGTTGTTGATCACACAATGAAAGTAGAATCAAACTCTTCATCTTCAAATCTTTATTGTTCACACAAACACAACTACACTGTTTGACATTTGAAAATCAAACAAAAACTTGTGATAAAAATATTCCTGATGGTTTTTGTTACTACAATAAAAGTCACAATAAGCACAAAAAGAATTCTAACTCAGAGCAACAATACATGTAAAGATGTATTTATTTCAGACGATCTTCTAACTGTTGAAGAAAAAGGCAAAATAAGCACAACACATCATAACTAACATTTGTGATCAAAGTGATGAATGAGATGAATTGATGAGATGTGATGGTGAGAAAAGGCGAGCAGGAAACAGTCAGTCAGCATGTGTGCAGTTGGTGGACGCTCCCTTGTTTGTGAGCATCATCAGCAGAGAGAGTCCACAGCAGTACACCAGACTCTTCACTATCAGCACTGTGTACAGCAGGCAGAGCAGCTTCACCCTGCACTGAGACTGGAAGGACACTGAAGGACAGACAGACACAAAGAGACAGACAGACAGTCGGGTTATTCCTCTCAGATCAAGGAGAAAAAGTCCAAATAGAAACAGTCACAGCTTCTTCTTCAAGTGGATGAATTGATGTAGTGTTTGTGTCCACTTGGGGGCAGAAGAACTCCACAAGCAGCTAACAAACTGATCTCTGACATATTATGGTCTGTCTGCTGTTTGGTGCTGAGCAGCTAGTGTACAGTGGCTTTATCAGAGCTTGTTGGATGAAGATTTGATCAATTAGTGCAACTTTAAGAGCCTAAACTTGTTCCAGCTGCCTCATTGGACATTGGAGCTGTCCATGCAGAGAGGCAGCAGGTGATCTTACAGTCAGCTGGCTGCAGAGCTGGCAGGTCTGCTGGCTCTCTCTCTGGAGGACAGGAGGCTGCTGGAGCTGGAAGCTCTGAAACAGAAAAGGAGTCAAATGTTTGGAGCTGCAGTGAGAAATGTCAGTCCTCTGCTGCTCTGCTCTCTTTGACAGCATCTCCACATGAAGCTGAATCACTGCTGAACACAGTCACCAAGCCTTCATTACCTTGTTGTGTTCGGGCCTCCACTGTGCCCCCCTCGTGCTTCACCCAGCAGCTGTATTTATATGTGTCAGAATGGCTCCCATCAACCATCCTGATGGCAATGGTGCGTCCCGCCTCTCTGAGCTCCAGCTGCTCTCCCTCAGCAGGGGGCAGCTCCTCCGCTTCTCCGCCGTTCTTCTTCTGTCTTTTCCAGGAGAACTGGACCAGAGGAGGAAACATGGCTGAGGCCACACACAGCAGGGAGCTGTTCCCCTCCAGGTGGGCTCTGGATGCTGCTGGGTACACGCTCACCACGGGCTTCACTACCTGCTCATCTGAAGTTTGACAGCAGCAACAAGCAGCACAGACACACATTCACACAGTCAGCAGCAGCTTCCAGCACTGCACTGCATTCAGTCTGATCCTGGAAACTACATGGACTCTGATCACTAAACTACTCATCAGCACAAAGTTCACTACATACACTGGATTCAGCTTCATATCAAACACAGTCATCACCTCATGTCATCATGGCTCACATGAGCAACACTCAGCATGATTTTAAAAGTCCAATTAAATTCAGTTTAATTCGTCATGTGTTTGCTTTTTATTGTTTTATAGAAATTTAGTTCAGTCCAACTTTAAAATATTTATATTTGTCTTTATACAAGTGAAAATGTATTTTTCTTATTAGTCCTTAGACACGAGTTCCAACAGAGATCCTCTTCTGTCCAAAAGTAAATTCATATTCTTTCATATTGTTTTGTACTATTAATAAAATTAAATATCATTTCACAAAATTCAGTTCAGCAGATAAAATTTCCATTCTTCTTGTCTTTGATATATTTTACCATAAAGACCATATTTGTCTTTCAGACTAATTTATTCTTAAAAATTTTTGTGTAAAAATTGGAAAAGTAATGCAGTGATTATTTTAATTTATGTTTTTATTCAAATAAAAAACTGTAGCAACTATTTTAAAACACTAAAACTGAAATGGTGAATAAAACGTTTTCAATAATATGAGATATACTTCAAGATATTTTTAGTCATAAAATACAAATTATTTGACAAAATATAACTAATAAAAATTTGTATGAAAAAGTATTTTGGAAATTTAAGTATTATTAACTTTTTATTGTCACGTACAAATCCACACACACGACTTAATCTCAGAAATAAATATCAGAGTTTAACGATGTCAAATTCATCCTAAATTTATCTGTCATATCATTTCTGAGTTTTCTAATCAGTATCTGTTTTTATACTTCTATTTACCTTCATGAAGCAGCTACATGAATGTTTGACTATTAAAAAATATTTGTTCCTCAACATAAAGCAAATATTTCCTGAAACCATATTTGTTGTTAATCTATATTAATTTAATTTTAACATCAAATATGATCTTGTGTTAAAAACCAGCAGAATCACTGAGAGGATCAAATCCTAAATATTTGTAACATCACTAATATTTGCAGAAATAAAGAATAACTTTAGTTGTTCAGTGAGATTTCAACATGTTTTCAGAGATTATTGAGCTTTTCTTATGTAACAATGGCTGCAGATGAATTCTCTACTAATGATGAAAAACTAACATGTAAAGCCTGAAGCAGCACAAACTGACTTTAAACACATTTTCAGCTTCTACAATAAAACAACTGAAGGAAAATAAATGTTTGTTCTTACCTGTTACAGACAGTTTAGTTCCAGAGCCAAAGATGAAGTACCATCCCACTCCCACAGTGAGACAGACTGCTACAAAAACCTGTCTGCTGCTGAACGTGTCAGCTGAGGTGAATGAGTCCAAATGAGGAAGCAGGATCATATTTCAGCTCCATGATGTGTTTCTCTAATGTTCATATCAACATGACTGTCTCTTCTTCTCTTTTCTTTTAGCCACACTAGCAGCACGGCTCTGATGTTAATGTCAGTCTGTTGGTCAGTCCACTACTTTAGTCCACATGAAAATAGAAAATCACTATATAAGCACCAGTCCATTTATCCCATCAATGATGCACCACTACAATGAAACATGCTGCTGATAGGATCATGGTTTGGCCCATCTGGCTCACCATCATTAATCACACAATCAGTTTTGAATTCTAGCAGCAAATTGTAAAGAAAACTATCAGAACATCTGTCTGTGAACTGAATCTCAGGAGAAAGTGGGCCATGCAGCACCACAATGACACAAACCAGTCACGTTTGTTTTCTTTGTTCCAAATAATGGTGAAAGAAAAAGAATCCAGTGAATCCAGCGAGTGATGTGATGAGTCTCTGATGTCTTTCTGATGTGGTTTTGTTGCGTCCTTCAAACCACACCTGGTGTATTTTAGAATAGAAACATGTTGGTCTGCACAGGCTCTTCTATTTTCAACACTGACAGGATTTCCTTTGCTGTTTCTTCTGTCCTGCACATTTTCCTCTGTTTTGTGCAGCTTGATGGAGCTTCTGTAAAAAACAGAGTCAGAATTATTTTTAGTGGTGCAGAGCAAAGAGATGCTTCAGGGATGCTTCTGAAATGTGCTGTGGCATGTCTGCTGGAATCATCAGTGTTGTACTGAGTGGCCTCAATCAGCTCCAGCAGCCTCGTAGGAACACACAGCGTCCCTGCCTGCTGTTAAAATAGAGCTTTGGAACAACAGAGTCCAACAGAGTCCAACAGAAATGGTGTGAAAGAGCTGGAAGTTCATGTGAGAAAATCCAACATGTCAGAATTAAAGCTGCTCTGTGTCAAAAATGGAGTCAAATTCTTCCAAACTGATGTGCTGGACTGATTATCAGTTACTGCAGGTGCTCCAGCCGAGGAGGAGCAGGAACCAGCAGAACTGCCAAACCCCACCGACACACATCACACACCACAAATGCCACACTCACAGAGAGACAAAGATAGAAAACAGGGAGGAAAGATCGATGGTGGTAGGCAGCAGAGGATCAGGGGACCATAACACCATCTTACACAGTTATTAACTTAGGTTATAAACACACAGTTGTACTTGAGATTTATTTTCCCAAGTGGATCACTACAGCTTTGCCATACTGCTACACTTGATTGTTCTTTAATATTTATTAATTTATTAATTATTTATTTATTTTTAATTGGAGGTTTGTAACAAAGAGCTGGTGGCAGTAATCATACAGACCAAAAACTTTATTGCAAAAGTTCAGGCAGAGACACAGTTAGCTAACATTCGGGGAATGATGAGTAGAATGAATGGGCTAGTAAGGAATTGGGAAATATTAATGTTGCGCCAAAAGGATAAAACTGCTGTTAATAACAGTGACAGGTGTGAGTACAAGAAAACAATTATTAGACTACAATGTGTTAAATTTGCTTAGATAAGAGGGTCCAGCAGTAGATGAGAGGAACAGGGAAGGATTTGTCTGTGTGTTTCAGTTTGGCTTAGCTGTAGCCTGAGAGTGTGTAATTGTTTAGAGGGAAAGTGTCACGGACCCAGCTATGGAGGACTCGGGGTCCGTGAGCAGTTTTGACTGTTGATGTTGATGTTGTTATTATTATTATTATTTTGGTGATGTGTGTGTTTTTCTGCACTGTGCTGTGTTAGTCTGTGTCCCACTCATATGTATAGGCAGGGTATGGTGTGTATGTCTGTGGGTGTGGCTGGAGGATGGAGCACAGCCACCTGCAGGCCTGATGGGTGTGGCCCTGTGAAAGGACTGGCCACACCTGAAGTTCCTGCCACACCTGTTGGTGATCAGGGCTTGTCGGGGGAGCTACTTAGGAGAGAGTTGGAGCTCCCACCGGCGCGGATATTGAGTTATCGTACCAAGTCAGTGTGTGTTAGCTTAGGTCTGTGCTGTTCGTATATGCCGCGGAGGGTTAGTGTTGACGCTGCGTCTCTGGTTTCCCTGCAGGAGGAGGAGTGGTCCGGAGAGGCAGCACGCACGGGGGTGCGGAAACACAACAGCGGGGAGCACGCACACGGGGTTCGAGGAGCAACGGGGAGTTATTGTATTTACAGCCTTTTCACTGTAATAAAGAGCACTGTTTGCATCGCAGAGTCTGCGTTTTGGTCCTCCTTTCCCCACATCCCACGGTCTGCCAGCCAGACTGTGACAGAAAGGAATTTATGGACACTGGGGTTCTGCTGTCATAAAAGGAGACAGGAAGCTACAGTGGGATTGCTGATGCTTGTACCTTTAATAAAAAATCATAATTGTTATAACTTAGAAGTAGGTTTGCAGGAGACTCTCCACCTTATCTGTAAATGTAAGACAACAAGAGGCCAGTGGATGCAGAGTGGGGGTCTCAGTGTTTGTAATATGTTAACTCTGTTTTCTATGTTGTGTAGAGGAATTTGGTGTAGCTGGGGAGAGAGGAGATTACTTTTACGACCGTCAGGAAGTCACGTACACAGAGACACACACAGTGCTTTGACTGTTACGACGCACCCACACCTACATGCACACTCACTCACGTGAACTTACACATACACACAGGTACGCGCATACAGTCACTCACATGCACTCACATAGACACACGGGTACGCGCACACACAGGCACTCACGTGCGCGTGCATACACACACAGACACAGAGTTTACAGCACACCATGGGGGTTTTATGATGGGGTCGCTTCTATAAAGCTGACTGTAACAAACAAAGGAGTGAAGATTTGCAGAGGACACCGGCCTTGCGCGTCTCCCCTTCTAGAAGATGCATGCTTATATGAAGATGTATAAGATGAATAAAGGTTTTTGTGAAAATGACTACTGAGTCCGTGCTGTCTCTGGATGCCTGAGGAATAAAAAGAACCGGGGCGAAACTGAAGTTAAAAAGAGATACAAATGTACATCAAACCTCCCAGGGAAAGATGGTATATGGCACAGTATCTGAGAACATATGGATAACAGCTCACAGCTGGTCTGAGATTGTTTAATAACAGAAAACAACAAATTTTGACCAAGGTGCTGATAATTAAGGTAATCAAAAGAAATAAAACATAGGGAGACATGATAAAAGTTAAGAAAAAGAATAAAATTAGAGATTTGAGTAGAAATAAGATAAATAAAAGTAATACAAACTCATTCTGTGTCAGGGCTCTGTGTGCGGGCAGGCGGAGAGGAGGATCCAAGTGCAGGACTCGAACACAGAATTGGTAAATCAGAACCTCAGCTTTATTGCTGACATGAAAACCAAACGTGCCGTGCCGTGACGTGACTACAGAAACCAAAGAAACACACAGGCATAATCTGAGGGTACGACACGACACCGAGCATGGGAAAACACAGGGCTTAAATACACAGGGTAAGTAATGAGGGAATGGGCCACAGAAGGGAGACACAGCTGGGGGAGATCAGGGCTAACGAGACGGGGAGCTAAGCTGCACACACAAACATGAGACAAAGACTTTCACAATAAGACAGGAAACAAGAAGTACTAACCAGATGCAGACATGACACTGAACAGAAACTGCAATACACATGAGAACCCGAAACCTAAGAACTGATCCCTCACCAAGAATAACAGAAACAGTTCCATAATGATAATAATAAACAAAGCACCAGACACAATCCATAATGCAAAAATAAACCGAAACATAATAAACTCAAAATACTGGGTCCAACGGACCCAGAACCGTGACATTCTGATTTAAAAGTCATGGAGTAAAAGTGTGTTTTCAGACGGGTTTTAAAAGTGTCCAGTGTTGGGGAGGTCCTGATGTGAACGGGCAGTTTGTTCCACAGTTTAGGAGCAGTTACAGCAAGGCCCGATCTCCTCTGTGCTTTAATCTGGACCTCAGGACAGCCTGGAGCATTTGATCCACAGACTCAGTGATCTTGCAGGAGTGTACAATTTAAAAGATCCAAAAGGTATGAGGGTGCTAACGCGTGCAACGCCTTGAAAACAAATAATTAAATCTTAATCTAACTAAACTGGCAGCCAGTGTAATGATGCCAGTATGGGAGATATGTGTTCTTAATAATAATAATAATGGATTGGATTTTATATAGCGCTTTTCAAGGGACCCAAAGCGCTTTACAATACCACTATTCATTCACTCTCACATTCACACACTGGTGGAGGCTACAGTTGTAGCCACAGCTGCCCTGGGGCAGACTGACAGAAGCGAGGCCTGCCACATCGCGCCATCTGCCCCTCTGGCCAACACCAGTAGGCAAGTAGGGTAGAGTGTCTTGCCCAAGGACACAACGACCAGGACAAAGCCCAGGGATCGAACCGGCAACCTTCCGGTTACAGATGTGATTCCCAACACCCTGAGCCACCGTCACCCGTGCGATCACCCGGTCACATGCTTGCATGTGCCAGTTAGTAACCATGCTGCAGCATTTTGGACCAGCTGCAGACGGCTATAACAATATTTGAGGCGAGATGATGTTGCCCCTTGGTGTGACAGGTGCCTGGGAGGGGTGCGATCCTAGATCCCGCAGCTGTGTATTGAAATAAAGAGGCACAGATCATGAACTTGTTCACGATTCAACTGCAGGATTTATTCTGCTCATCAACAGGGGAACAAGTCATTAATCACCTCTCATAAGAACCAGCAATTCTTTGTAACGTGGTGGCATAACAGCTGTCAGCGTATTGTCAAAAGTACAGGAATAACCCTTGGCGAGTATACATTAACCATCATAAATATAGATAACATTGGCTCGCAGTGACCAGTGACCTGGTTGCCTCAGCCTTTGTTCCTGTTACACATACATATCACTGCATCAAGAAATACAATGTACTGTAACTCACAGCCGTCAA